TTCATTGCGAGCTTTTAAAGGTCTTTACATTTGAACTTTTAAAGATCTTGACCACGAGCTTTTAAGGATCTTTGCACGAACTTTTATAGATCATTGCCGCAAATTTTATTTGTCTTCCCTGCAAATTTTAAATATCTTCATCACAAAAATTTTAAGGCCTTTGTCTCGAACTTATAAAGGACTTTGTAGTTTGACAAAATTACTTCTAAAAGGAAAGAAAGAGACAACAAAAGTAAAACAAAGAAGAAAGCACAAGAAAAGAAGAAAAGAAGAAATTACCTTATAGTATTTTCCAATTGCCGAAGGCAAACCTACAATGGCACTGTGCAGCTAATTGATGTTCGTAAATTGGTGAGCACACATCCTTATATAGATAATTAAAGGGTGCTTGTGAAAAGTAATGTTCGATGTGGGAAGCAGACCAATCGCTATAATTGGAGTTCTAAAAGGATTTGGTTTGTTAAGGCGGCAGGAGAATCCTAACTTATAGTGGGAATTTCGCTGGAAAATAAAGAGACTAAACCAAAACCTATAATAAATATCTTTGTGTAGCCATGTTAGAGTTGGAGACGGTAAATTTTTCTTGAAGTAAGATAAGTTTCCATTCAAGTGTATTCCAAATAGGAATACTATGTGGGCACATTGCAACATATGAAGCCAAAACTAATCATTACAATGAGAAGAAAATCAATAATCTGACAATCTTTGGCAATGTTGAAATTAATATGCTTTTGTCCTTATTCAAGTATCAATTGCCATTGAAAGTTTTGAAGGATGAACATGTTGTTCGAAAGTACGTTACATTTTACAAGTGACTGGTCTGGCTACCGGTCAAATGCGAAATTGATTCAAGGTCCAGATTTCATATCTTTATGAATACTTCAATCCTTTTCTTTTAAAGTTTAACACGCTTCATTTTGGACTATATTTTAAATTCAAGATATATTAGTCCAAATAAATATTATGTGCTAATATATAAATGAATTAATTATATAAGTCCAATACATATGGGTTAAATAAATAAGTCTTAATCCATTGGGCTAGCCCATTTAATTTGGCTAAAGTGATGAGCTCACTTCATCAAGCCCAAGTTGTAATCTTCCTAAAGGCCCAGTTTGGTACCACTTGTCAAATGACGTGGTGCGCCAAGTCAAGCAGAAGAGCTAATAGGACCATGTCATGTGTCAAAATGACAAGGCATGCCAAGTCACATTAAAAGGCTAATGAAATCGCGCCACGTGTGCAAGTGACATGTTCTGGCCAATTAAATGTGGTCATGTCATACTTCAATTTGATTGGTCGGAAAGAGTTTGTTCTTATCACAACCCCTCCCTCCACAACTATAAATAGGGGTCTTCATAACCCAGAAAAGACACCAGAAGTTATAACAAGAAGCAAGAGAGAGCTCGTTGATCAAACGCCGCAAATTTCTCTACAAGTTTCAAGCTTCAAGCAATCAAGTTCAAGTTCAAGTTCAAGAAATCAAGTTCAAGCTCAAGAACGAAGAACGAATCAAGATCAAGTTCAAGCAATCAAGCTCAAGAACAAGATCATCGTTCGTGGCAACAAATATAGATTCAAGATCAAGCTCAAAGGTCTTGAATTTATTTACTATTGAAAAGAAGAATCAGAGGATCCATAGAGATTGTAACACTCAAATATTTGAAATAAAATACTACGATTGCTGCAATATTTTTCGGTCTTGATTTTATTTTCTCGACGCAATTTATTGTCTACAATTATCTCATATGATGTAATGTTTCACTCACAAAAGTTTAATTTCTTATTGAAGTGAAATTTATGTCAAACAAAATTTCAAACTTCTTTCCAACTTCAACTTTAACTTCAAATATTGATTTTTTACACTTAAACCAAATATTATCTAAAAAATAGAACCCATAAAATTATGCATAAATTGTTAATAAATTAATTTTTCTAAATTTATTTACCAAAAAAAGACTAATTTTTTTTTGAAAGACTTAAATATTATCAATTCAAAATCAAAATTGTTCATACTCTCCCTTCAAAGTGGAGTAAATAATTTTGTGACTCTTCAAGAAACCTTTAAAGTTATTTATTAAGGCAATAAAAGTATCTTACTTCAGAAAATAAATATAGATCAAATATTTCTTCCCGAAGCTGCAATGCCTCTTCCGAATTTAAATAGTAGTGGTTAGTGGATAATATTACCAACATGCTATTGTTAAACAATATCCACGTTTCCGTCACCACTTGCATATTGTAAAAATATTAAAAAATATCTAAAAGTAAAATTGTGCAAAGAATTTTAATTATAATGTGAAGGAATGTAGCAGCAGTTTTGCCTCCTTAGACTTTGAAAATTTGATACTCAGAATATAATGCGTATTAAAGAAACTAAATTTGTATTCCTTAGTAGTTTCTTCTAACATAAGAACTCAAGAAAAAAAATTAGAAATGAAATATAAGATTTAAGAAGGAAGAATAAATATATTCTTCAACGTTAATGAAGAATCACATAATGTGTTTTAAGAAGAAGTATTTTTCTCGTATCTTTTATTTACTTCAAATGAAAACCTCTAGAAATTAATCATTTAGCATGGTTAAACAGATATAAATTAAATTCTTAAAGTAAATACAATTATAACATCAAAGTGTTGATTGCTAGTTCTGGATGCTAAAAATCAGTAGTAACCTTCAATTTACATGATATATCAATTATAGAAGAGAGTTGTAAGTTGCATAAAGTTTAATAGTAGAGCAATTACATACCTATCTGCAAATGAAAGAAAGAGGATACGTATAAGGAAATCTACCTCATAATTGATTCAACTATTCGTTTTCATTTTAGATTGTTACCATGACGTGTGGTTGAAAACTCTATTTTATTTATCTGAAGGAAGACACCCCTTCGAATCAAGGCATCGATTAATTTTTTTTTTTTTATAAGTAGTTCTTTCCTCTTGGACAAATAATTATTAATGAATAAACACAACTAGTTAGAAAATCAGTATCATTTTGGTATTTATTTATTTATTATTGTCTAATATAAATATATATTATTAAAAGGTTATTTTATTAATTTAACTTTTTAGGTTTGGGCTTCCCACTTTTAATATAGTATAGATATATATATATTACATTACACAAGAATAATATGATAAATTACACAAAACACCTTATAATATGATCCAATTGCATATGCACTAAAAATATTTGCAAATACACTCCTTCTATTTCAAATTCGTGCAGTTAGACTACTTATACCTTAGAAATCGGCACAAATATTAGTTTGAATGATAACTGTATCTTGTAACCAAAAAAAACAAAAACAAAAAAACACACACACAAATTAAGTGTTTGGATTGAAAACCATGAAGTATAACTGTAAATAAGTGTACTAAATCAAATAAGTGAAAATCTAATTAAAATTACGCTTGACAGGTCTTATGAGATTTCCTTCTTACTTAATAAAACACATCAATTACTAGTATTAGCATTGCATTTAGACCATGTAAGATGAGTTGTATTGTGAAGAATCTAATACTTATTTCTCATATTCTATATAGTTTTTTTATTCTTCCTCTTAAAATAGTTTAAATTTAGGAATTTTTACCTCCTATAGCAAAGATTAACACCTTATTTATTTTAAATAAATACCATTTAAAAAAATTATATTCTATAGATACCTTTTAATGTTTATAGTAAAATATTTAATTTTGGTTACATCCTACCCCTAAGCCACTAAATACGCTATTCAGTTACACTATTTTCTTTCTCTCTCTACTTTAATACATGTCATTCTCTTCCCTCATTCCCTGAAACATGAGTTACTATTAGAGCCAGATTCCCTTGAAGGAACAACAAATCTTGTCAAGTACGACTGGAATGTGAGGCCTGCTACTTGAGGCTCAATCTCATGGTTTCCTTCAATAACCATCATCGGAACTCTTGAGATCAGCGGCTCCATAAACCTGCAACTCCAGTTTATTCAGTTCAAATTTCTCTTTTTGCTTCAATTGGTAATGCACCAAAAAGAATCATATTCAGATTAGCTTGTTTCAAATCCAATGACTTCCAATTTTTCACTTTATTTTCCATTTTCTATCTCATAGGAATATATAATAGACTCTGTAGCAGTTCGTCGTTCCACAAGGGTATCAATTTGATGAGCACTCATATATTTCATTGTATTCATTGTCTTTTTTTTCAATGCAATTCAATGTATCTCGCTGTATTCCATATATTTCATGGTATTCACTGTCTTTTTTTTCACTGTATTTCAATGTATCCCGTTGTATTCTATGTATTTCATTGTATTCACTGTCTTGCTATATGCCATGAATGTATTCATATATATATTTTAATTAATATAATTTATGTATTCAGATGTATTATATAATTTCTCTGAAGATTACTATGTTTTTTGGATATTTTTCGGTTGAGAATCTTTTTTATAACTGGAAATACAAAATTTGTATGATATAATTGAGTTTGTTAAGTTATATTAGGAGTCTATTATGTTAATTGATTCACTTTCCATTTAAAAACATTGTAATCCCCTGTTTCACGCCGTGAATACAGTCGAATACAATAATTTGTCCAGCTGTAATACCATGTTTCACGCCATGAATACAGTCGAATACACTCGAATACAACAATTGATTAGTTGGACTTCCCTGATTCACGCCTATTTTTGCTACAGTATTCATGAATACATCTTATAACAACAGAAAACGTATCTACAATCCGTAATATAGCAAATAGTATCTATAGATAGGTAATTACCACTAAAAGATAGTGTTTTATGAAAATTTCTCTTAAATTTACCTAGTAAGATGAACTTCCTCTTGTTATAGGACTTCCGCTATATAAGGGGTTTAAGCATTTGATTTTGAAAAATAAGGATATAACACTTATATTTATGTAGGATTTTCACATATAATGTGATGTTTAGTTTTAAAAAACTCTCCTATCATGCAGTGAACCAATACCACCACATGAGTATACTTTCTTGAAATATGTTCCTGAGTAAGTTGGACATGAGAGTCTAAAAGCTGTAGCAGAGGGTACTGTATAACAAACATAGGAATTGGTCCTGAAACAAAGAAATACAGGACCAAGGATAGACAAGCTTCCTTTATAAAACAAACTCATTCTCAAAGCCTTTTTTAATATCTTTAAAAGCCACTTTTGTATAATGATCCTTGAAATTGGGGTTAAACTTGCCATTGTGCAACTCCTGCAATGCCATCAACTAACAATCATAGCCGAGAATTTGAGGATCAAAGATAACTTCGAGGTCATCTAATAGATGATAAAATTGTCCAAACTCTAGAGACCAACATCATCTGCATCATAATCTTTGATTCTTTTACAATAATTGCTCCGTCCTCCAGATTGTCTTGCGCCCCTGAAGGTGTTAATAGAACATTAAAAACGCTTTTGATGTTTTCATCAATGTATCCACATATTAAACTCTTGAATGTCTTCAGCAGTCAGACAAAATTCCACATGATCATAACTCCACATATCACTAAGAAAATTGAATACCACAGGAAGTTTTAACCCCACAAGGGTGACTGTAAAGTGAATATCCTCTTCTCATCCCTATGGCAAGCAAGTAAACTTAGCATATCATGGCTTCAGCAAGTAATTACATTGCATTTTGAAGTATCTAATGGACAAGAAAGGTCCAAAAACAGAAAGATTAGCACTTTTAAGCCCAAACTCCAGCGGTATTTGCAGCTTCGTTCCAAGCTCAGTGGCAACAACCTTGTGCTCTCAAGTACTCCAGAATCCAAGCTCAGTGCCCTCCACTTCATTTTGCCACCATACACGCAAACTTGTTTGACTGTCTTGTTACTTGAGGCCAAGTTCATACTTGCGCTTCTTCCTCCAAGCTTTTTTCTTGTCAGCTATGGCACGTCTTTTGTCCAGAGGATCTCATTAATGGTTGCTGAGATACGCTCAAAGCCATAGGGATTTGAATGGAAACTATGCATATGGATCCAACATCACACCATTAAACTCAAATCCGTATGAATACTGATAAAACTCACCACTGTAATTCTCAACACCATAGGGTGTCAGGGTTAAAATTCGGATTTGTTCAAATCTGCTTCTCACAGGCCCATCATTGAACTTCATGTGGACTTGGTGAACCATGTTGATGGACCTCAGGAAGAGCTGTGGTAGCTAAGACTTGAATGATAGTAATAGTGACTGATGCATCGCGGCGGAATCACGGCCGAGAAACATCAGGTTTGATACAAATTGCAATAATTCCCAGATTGGAATCGCCATGAAAACTAAAGATTTCTCTAGAACAACGAATACAACAACGACCCAGTTGAATCCCACAAGTGGAGTCTGGGAAGAGTAGTGTGTACGCAGACCTTACCCCTACTTTGGAGGAGTAGAGAGGTTGTTTCCGATAGACCCTCGGCTCACAATGATGGTAAAGGACAGTGGAGCAATAATAAAGGAAGTCAGAAAGATAACACCAACAACGTGATAACCAGAAAGCAGAAAGAAAAAGCAATAACAATAAGCAATAACAATGGCACAGCACTACAGACACAATGGAAGTAATAAGGACACAACAAGAGCCTTTAGCGTCCTAAGACAAAACACTATCAAGCTAGCCTCCTACAACCTAACCTGCAACCCTATAATGAAGTAATATGGACACAACAGGAGCTACTAGCAGCCTAAGACACAACACTATCAGACTAACCTCCTACCTCCTAACCTACAACCTTAATGTTCGACCTCCACAGCTTCCTATCAAGGGCCATGTCTTCGGAAATCTGAAGTCGCACCATGTCCTGCCTGATCACCTCTCCCCAATACTTTTTAGGCCGCCCTCTACCTCTACTCATACCCGTCAAGGCCAGCCATTCACACATCCTTACGGGGCATCCATGCTTCTCCTTCGCACGTGCCCGAGCCATCTAAGCCTAGCTTCCCGCATTTTGTCTTCTATGGAAGTCACACCCACCTTCACCGGATATCTTCATTCCTAATCCTATCCAGCCTAGTATGTCCGCACATCCATCTCAACATCCTCATTTCTGCTACTTCCATCTTCTGGAACAGTGCATAAAACAAGAAAATTACACGGAAAAGTAAGAGAAAAAGAAAGATTTCATTTCATTAAACATGCAGCAAAATGGGAACTATAACTGAATATAAAGAGTGTAAGCATAATCTAGATCACGTGGACGTTGGTTACATCACCATCCTAACAAACTGTACTAAGGTGATAAAGAAATAAACCAAGAATTTGGGTAAACTGTAAATAGATGAAAAAACAGACATTACTTTGGAAGCTCACGGTAAGTTGCAACTGAATCTGCTGGAACTACGGAAAGTATACCATATTATACTCAGTTCTCCTCTCACTATTTAACGAACACTCGCTCACCTTGAAACACATAATAAATTTATAAGAAGCTCTGAATAGTGAAACGCATAATAATTTATCTGAAGCTCTGAACTTTGACCATGCTACAGATCCGAAACAAGTTCTCACAAAAATAAAATTTGCAGAAACTTTATAAAGGAGAAAAAGTTGCACTGAGTGTGATTTTACTTTTATAAAGGAGAATAAGAAATACACCTTGAATATATCTAGTACACATTATATACAAAAGTATGAATGAAGATCAAAAGGAAAAGAAACGCCAACTGCATTGTGTTCGTTAACACCTGGTCTAGGCTCTCTCATTACGCTTGGTGGAAATAAGAAATTAGCTCTACGAGTGATGAATCAGCAAAAATGCCACGGATTTTAACCAAATAATGGAATTAAATTAATCAAATAAATAATACTAAAAGAATTACTGAGAATTAAGGATACTTCTCTCCCAGTCAAAGACGCACAACTTCTCTAAATCTTGGAAGGAAAAGAACTGCGAGTATAATGAATTTCTTTCTAGCAACTTTGAAATTACAACAAGAAGCATTTCGCAAGCCTGATTTTCTTCCAACTTTTCTGCATCAGTGAGCTCAGAAGAATGATCTTTCCATGGTTGGTAAAATGACCTGTTCAACAAAGATTAACATCAAATATGGCACTTCATATATGTATCTCAAAGCAGCAGTTAATTATCAGAAAAAGGTAAATTGGGAAAAAGAAAATATCAGCCTATATATTCTTCTTTAAAAAACCTACCAGCCTATAAATTCGTTGAACTACATGGTTATTTGAAGTTTCTTGTCCCGGGGCTTTGGTATAGTGGTAAGAGCACGGTGCGTGATGTGGGTTAGGCGCACGCCACGGGTTCAAACATGTTGCTGACAAAAAGTTGGTATTTAAGTGGAAAGGATAGAGGGGTAGGCCGATTATATACTGAGTTTCTAATCGTGTGCCACTGCCCCCCCGGAATTTGTCCGTAATCAAAAAAATACCAGACTATAAGTTTATTGAAGTAACTTCTCTCATAAAATCCAGACATAATAAAACCCCATCATCTTGCTAAAATCAAATCATTTAAGCATCTTGTCCTTAATTGTTTTGAACTACTCCATGCTATTGCTTAGTTTGTTTATGCAGTGACCCCATATTCATCTGCAGATTCTCGACGGGGAATGGAGAGAGAGAGAGACAGCTCAGTGATGGGCACAGACAGTAAAAACTGGTAGGAGAACTTATGATTTGGAAAACCTATACTCTGAAAGAAAAGAATTTACACTAGTGGAGTGTAATGTTTATGGCAATAAATCCCAACTCTATAACATCAGCATGGTGGAAATATAAAGACGTAAAAAGAGGTTTCACATAAGACAAGGTTCTGCTTTGTTAATTCCTGCATATTGCTCTACTAACAGTCTTCAGAGTCTTTGGACTAGCCAGTAATAGTCTAGAAAGAGAATGGAGTAACATAGACATCACAAGCACTAGAGGAATTCTTGAGGTGTACATATTTCTACGCAGCAGCAGGAGATTTAACAATGAGAGGCCATCTCCCAAAGCACAAGAACGAAACTTCAAATGGCTAGCAGAAGTACATCACATTGGCATTCGCAGCACCCAGGGAACAAACAGTGCTTTACCCCTAGATGTCCAGTCAACTGTTGTTCCTCAATGGGGGTGGTGGGTTAGTATTTTTGGTTTCTTTTCTTTTCATTTTTCTCCCCAGAAAGAAAGTGTATCTCTAGAAAGCAGAAAAGGGCCAAAACTACCCCTGAAGTATGGCTTAGGAAATACCCTCCGTCCACCTATTGAGCTAAAATTGCCCTCAACATTATCTTTTCGGCTCAACTTTACCCTTATGACTAACGGTGCACTCCAAATTTAAAAATGTTTATTTAATTATTACATGGCAACTTCTTGTTGGCCCACAATAAAACACTAACCCTATTAAGAAAACCACCCATATGTAAAGATCCCTGGCCCATACCCGGTTTTAATGAAAAACCCCAACATCTCCTCTTCCTAAATACATACGTGCATCTTCTTCTTCTTTTAACCTGGTTTTAATTTTTGCCAAATCTCAATCCTCAATTCTCAGCTATCATCCTTTTACATAACTTCAATCTTCTAACTTAATGTGATTGAACTCTACATACTTGACCAATCAAGAAACAAATCAACTATCCGTCCAAATTCCAATAGCCACTAACGGATCGATCCGCATTTCTCAATCTTCATTCCTGGTTTCAATTTTCGTTAAAGATTGAGTCTTTCATATTCCAGTTACAAAATTTCAACCGAAATGGTCTGTTTTCAACTGTCCCCTTTTTGAAATTGAAGCAAATGAATCAGTTGCACAAGAAAAAGGAGAGAAGGGAATTTGCAGAACCTTAACTGAAAAGAAAGAAAAGATGCACGTATGTGTTTAGGAAGAGAGATGCTGGGGTTTTTCATTAAAACCGGATATGCGTCATGGATCTTTACATATGGGTGAGATTTTTAATGGGGTCAGTGTTCTAATATGGGCCAATAAGAAGTTGCTATGTAATAATTAAATAAATATAGTTTAAATTCAGAGTGGGCCACATTAGTCATAAGGGTAAAGTTGAGCCAAAAAGAAAACATTGTGGGCAATTTTAGCTCAAGAGGGGGGGCGAATGGTATTTTTGGCCCTAAGCCTATAGTTTAGGGGTGGTTTTGGCCCTTTTTCGTTCTAGAAAGTAAAGTAGAGAGCGGTATATGTACCATCTCCAGGCAGGATTAGCTTCAGCAGGGCAATTAATCTTTGAGCAGAGGGTTGCCCACTGTACTGCATCGCCAGCTAAGATGTCTGATTCTGTCAAACAGCAAACACTTAATAAACAAGTCGGCCATTAGTGTGAAAAACAGGAAGTTGTCTAAGTGAACAAAGGAGAAAGCAGTATTGATAAGCTTATGAGGCTACCTGCTGAGGAAAGACTAGATAAAAGCAGCAGACAGAGTGCAGAAACAACAGATGGAAGTACTATATAGTTTGTGCATTGTAGCTGTTGCAGAAAAAAGATGGATGAGGCCAAAGTTCCTTCACATGCAAATGCCCTGTTGGTTTCCTCACATCTTTGCTCATTCCATTCCATCAGAGAAAGCAGATTATTGAGCTTAGATCTGTCAAAGGAATGACACAAGTCCGAATTACTGAATCTAGGGGAAAGCTTTCCAACAATCACTGATGCAGCAAGCCAGCGAACAAGCATTGATATCAGAGAATCATCTGTTTCTTCCTCAGCTTGCAGTCTCACAATGCAAGCAAAATTTTCCAGCCCGTGGATATTTTCAATCTTTGGCTGCAAAGCAATTAAAGTAGCCCATCTAACAAACTTGGAAACCTTTTCCTTGTCCTGGAAAAATATAAAACAGAATTAACTTACAAATGATTTGAATATAGAAAACCATACATACACACCAAAGCTAGTGATCTCCAGAAAACCAGTACTAAAGATTGATGGGCACAACATATGAATTCATCAGGATGCTTAGGCTTACGCATTTCAAGTCAGGATCTCATGATCTGAATATCTTGCTACACTTACTTCAGAACTCACTGCCCTCCCAATTTTTGGTGTAAAATAACCATATTTCAAATAAAAGTAACTCTAGAACGGATCTATATCACCAGAATACTCAAACAAAACCTACATTAATCAGCTAAACACAACCAATGAGTAGCAGCATTTCTGTGAGACCCAAAAGTGATCAAGCCAGAAGGGAGCCTTGGAGCAACGGTAAAGTTGTCTCCATGTGACCTATAGGTCACGGGTTCAAGCCGTGGAATCAGTCACTGATGCTTGCATCAGGGTAGGCTTCCTACATCACACCCCTTGGGGCACGGCCCTTCCCCGAACCCTGCGTGAATGGGGATGCTTCGTGCACCGGACTGCCCTTTGCCCAAAAGTGATCAAGCCAAGTCCAACATCAATGGGAACTCTAATGTGAAAGATAGTTTAACCTTGTATTGTGGAATCCAAAGACAACAACAGGGTCAATTCTTTTCACATGCTGATGAGTGAAATATTGATGCCATCTATACATGCTACTTGTATCTTCTTCTAATCCTGTATGAATGCATATCAATCCTAACATCCGCATTTCTATGACGCTAATCTTAACTGAATAACAAATTGCTTTTGTTCGTACCCTTCTTATGATCAAATGGATTATTGTAAGTCCGGATGTGAACAACTGAATCCATCAAGCAAGGTACTAAATGGACCTCATCCAGTGGCTTCATTAGGTGCATGTTTCTTTTCTTTCCTTTTTTTCATTAGGTGCATGTCTCCTGAAGTTAGTTGTTGTCCTTTGCTAGAGCTGGATTTTAAGCCTTTTTGGTATATGAAGACAGGGTAATTTGTTCCATACGTGGAATTGTTTGCACATATAAATAACTCTTCTATGTGCGAACGTCATTTCCGTTCACGGTATATTTCAGAATCCATATGATTTCCGGCTACATTCGTTTCCAAGGGAGTGTCTGCATAGCGAGAGAGAGATGCCTAACTCACAAAACCATAAATTTTAAAAGGAGCAAGGGTCTGATTCCAGTTGACTAGCTTAACTGGCTCGTCCAATCAGTTCTAAAAGCAGGGTTAGCCCTGGTGTGAGCATAGTGGGAAAACTATATGATGGCACCATGATGTCCAAATCCATCAAATAATGAAAAGATAATACAAGTTAGCTTCAGCAGACAAACAAGATCAATCAGTAGAGCAAAAGATGCTGTTTAACTCGTCGGAGAGAACTATCCTTGATGGATGTGAAATTGCTTATTCATATCATCATGCTACAGGAAAGAGGTCAACCAACCAATAGTAAGTAAAGATGCCTTGGAGAAGACATCAAACAGCAATGGTAAAAGACCACAACAAGAAGAATAATTGAGACCAAAGACCGTGAAAAAAGGGCATAGTGCTGGGAACACTTTAGTTAGTCTTTTATAAAGATAACAAAGGAAGACTGCTTTCTCACTGTAATCTTGCAATTATCATTTATTTTCCGATTAATATTGAATGTCATGGTTTAACTTAATAGGATTTCCAGAAGAAAAATATTGACTTGGAATAGTTGATTAAATCAGAGTAAAAAATATTGTTAATTATATTACAAGGGGGTCTAAAAGTGACGCGATATGCTACTTTTGGTTTATTGTGTGGTTGGCTAACGTATACAAACTGCTAATTTGTGATAAGATGAAAGATATTCCATTTTAGGAAATGAAAATCAAATTTGATACAGCTTAAAGAGAAAAACACAATATCAAATTCGAATTGGAAGGAATGTAAGAATATTTTTTTTTTGAATTGGTAACTATTGTATATATTAAAAACATCAGTCCTATGTACTGAAAACCAAATTTACATGGAGAGGATTAGTAGATGTTCTAATTCGAGACCTAGCAAGATCCTAGTATGTCTATAATTGTCAACGTATCTTCTATGTAAATCTGTTTGCACCAAAAACAAAAAAGAAGAATACAATTGAGTTTGATCTTCTGCA